GGTAGAAGCTTGAAATATTATGTGCAAGGTTATAGGTTCAAATCTCACATCCCACATATTTTAAAGAAGCCAAGTTTAATTCCATCAGTTAAAGTATGAGGCGATGGTTTGGAATGTCAAGAGGATGAGATTTCCAAATTGACTAAGGGGGAAGCAATTTGCAAAGTCAAAGAGGATGAGATTTCCAAATTGACTAAGGGATGAACTTTACAAGTGCAAAGTCAAAGGGGAAGCAATTTGCAAAGTCAAAGAGGATGAGATTTCCAAATTGACTAAGGGATGAACTTTACAAGTGCAAAGTTTTCCAGGGAAGCAATTTGCAAAGTCAAAGAGGATGAGATTTCCAAATTGACTAAGGGATGAAGTTTACAAGTGAAGGGATGAAGTTTCTCAAATTAGTATCCCGAAAATTGACATAGGGATGCAATTTCATCTGAAGGGTTGAAGTTCAAATTGATATCTTGAAGAGATGAAATTGGTATCCCGAAAATTGACATAGGGATGCAATTTCATCTGAAGGGTTGAAGTTCAAATTGATATCTCGAAGGGAAGGCAATTTCAATTGGAAGAGATGAGATCTCGAAGGGCAATTTCAATTTGAAGAGATGAGATCTACAAGGGCTTCAATTCAATTGGAGATATAAATTGAAAGGGATGAGATTGCAATTGGAGATATAAATTGAAAGGGGTGAGATTGCAAGTCCAAATCAAGTAAGGGATGAGAGATATAAATTGAAATGGATGAGATTGCAAGTCCAAATCAAGTAAGGGATGAGAGAGATTTCATTTCCCAAAATAGCAAGGGATGAAGTTTAACAGAGGAAAATATGAGAAGAAGTTGCAGAAGCAAAAATACTAGTCTAACTAGTAAGGGATTATATTGGAGATTATATCTTGAAGATAAAAATCCCAAGAGGCGTGATCTACACCAGATGGAGATTCATGGGACGCCATTTTTGCGAAAATCTCAAGCTCAACTTGCAGAGAAATCTCTGACATATCTGCAACGTTATCTTATTCTCTGACAAAAGGCTATACAGCTGGATGAAATTCAAAAATGAGAATGTTTCTCTCCAACGGAAATATTCTCATTACCAGCTATAAACAGATGAAGATTGAAGGTGAGAGAAGCAAGAAGTATAGAAGAAAAGAAGCAAGAACGCAATAGAGCAAGAATACAGAGCTAAACAGAGCATACAAAATTCAAAGAAAGCTTTCAATCTCAGGAGCTTAAATATTCTTTGTGAGATAAACACTCAGAGTGATACAGATGAACTTGGGAAAAGATAATTAATTGAATAACAGAATCATAGTTACATTAATACTCTCACAGAGAGAGAACTATCTTCTAGGCTAGAGAATAGATCATTAACAGATTATTACATAACTAATTATATATATTAAAACATAGTATATAATAATAACACAGTCTAACACTCCCCCTCAAGCACAAGGTAGGTGAGGAACCACATTGAGCTTGCTACGCAGAGTTGCGAACCGCGCTGCTTGAAGCGGTTTGGTGAAGATATCCGCTAGCTGATCCTTGGTAGATACAAAATGAACCTAAAGGTTTCCAGCTGAAACTTTGTCTCGGACAAAGTGATAGTCAACCTCAACGTGTTTGGTGCGCGCATGGAACACCGGATTTGCACAAAGATACGTCGCACCTAGATTGTCACACCATAGCGTGGGCGTAGAGACAGGCCCTAATCCGAGATCTCGCAGCAAGGACACAACCCAGGTAACCTCAGCACAGACATCTGCAAGCCCCTTATACTCTGCCTCAGTCGACGAGCGTGCGACGGTGCGCTGTTTCCGAGAGACCCAGGAGATAAGATTTGCGCCAAAGAAAACTGCATACCCACTTGTGGATTTGCGATCAACAGGACAGCCGGCCCAATCCGAGTCGGAGTAGGCATGAATATCCGAGACCCCTGAACCCATGATGCGTAGACCGTATTCCAGAGTTCCTTTTATATAACGAAGGACTCACTTCAGTAGACCCCAGTGCTCATCAGTCGGTGAATGAATGAACTGACATAGCCGGTTGACCGAATAAGACAGATCCGGCCGAGTGATGGTGAGATACTGAAGAGCTCCAGCTAGCCGGCGATATTGTGTTGGGTTGTCGAAGGAGTCAGTGGACTGACACACGGGTTGAGTCACAGAAGCCGGAGTGGCTAACGCCTTGCAATCAGACATGCCGGCTCGCTGTAGAATATCCCGCATATAACGACCTTGTGAAAGCATCATACCCCCGGTTATAGAAATGGTTTCTATGCCGAGAAACAACGTCGGTTGCCCTAGATCCCGAATTTTGAAGGCCATCGCCAGTTGCCTTAGTATAGAATCAACTAAGGCTGTGTCACTTCCGAGCATGATGATGTCGTCCACGTAAAAAAGTAAGAATACTCGAGCATCAGCAGCGGAGTAGTGAAACAGAGACACATCTGTTTTGGAAGCAACAAACCCTGTGAGAATCAGAAAATCATGTAAGTGTTTGAACCAGGCGCGGGGTGCCTGTTTCAACCCATATAGGGAACGCTGTAAGTGACAGACGTGATTAGGATGATCAGGATCCTCGTAGCCTGGTGGCTGCCGCATAAAGACCGTCTCAGCCAGACGCCCATTCAGGAAGGCGTTGTGAACATCTAGCTGTCGTAGTGTCCACCCACGGGAAATGGCCAAAGAAAGTAATAGCCGAACCGTGGTCGGTTTAACAACCGGACTGAATGTCTCAAAAAAGTCCTCACCGGCTACTTGATTGTAGCCTTTGGCAACCAGCCGAGCCTTATAATGTTCCACCGTGCCATCGGCTTTCCGCTTGGTGCGAAAGACCCATTTGCACCCTATTATGTTCATGGCCGGAGTAGCTGGAATAAGAGTCCACGTGTTGTTATGCAGTAACGCGTTGAACTCTTGGTCCATTGCGTCTCGCCATTGTGGATGGCCCACCGCTTGAGAGTAGCAAGTCGGGTCATCCGTGGATGCTGTTAACACATGAAACTGTTCCCCAGTCCCTTGTGTCATGCGCCTGAGCCGCATAACATGGACCCGCTCCTGAGGTTGAGCTCGACGTCCTCGTCTTTTGACCACAGGAGGCCGAGCTGGAGCCGGTTCTATAACCGGACACGGAGTGGTGGCTGCAGCCTCAACAGTCGTATTTTGGTGCAAGATGGGACTAGACCCCCAAGGTAGACTGGGGACGACTTCACGTGCTCCAGACTGTACCGGGTCCTTGTTAGCAAAAGGGAAGTGACTTTCATCGAAGCGGACATGGCGACAGATGTACGTTTTCCCGGTGTTTAGGTCCATGCAGCCTTAACCCTTAAAGGACGGTGGGTAACCTAAGAAGATACACGGACTTGACCGATACTCAATTTTATGACGGTTGTATGGACGAAGGTATGGGAAACAACGACACCCGAATACACGCAAATATGTGTAAGTGGGTGGAGACTGATATAATCGCTGGTAAGGTGTATCAAACTGGAGTGAAGATGACGGTAACCGATTTATTAAGTACGTTGCTGTTTCAAAGGCATGATCCCAATACCTTTGTGGGACAGAGGCTTGGGCCATCATGGCAAGACCGGTTTCGACAATATGCCGGTGCCGGCGTTCGACGCGCCCGTTTTGCTCATGCGTATAGGCGCATGATTGCCTATGCACAATTCCTAAGGAGGTAAAAACTTTATGTAACTTTTGATATCCCCCCCTCCCCCCCCCCCCCAAATCAGACTGGATGGACTTGATAGAACGTGAAAATGTACGTTTTACCGTCGCCCGAAAAACATCGAAAATTTTGTATATATCGGTTTTGAGTCGTAGCGGATAATACCAACAATAACGGGTATTATCATCTACGAAGAGTACAAAGTAACGTGAGCCATCCGCAGAAATAACAGGTGCGGGACCCCAAATGTCAGTATAGATAAGGTCTAAGATATTATTGCTAGATTTAGCTACCCTATCTAACGGGAATCGAGAGGATTTCCCGAGTTGACAAGATGAACATAAACTACGAGTTACATTTTTATTTGATTCAACCGGACATTTTTGTAAAACTCGTTTTAGGGCTTGTTCATGGGGATGACCGAGACGCTGATGCCAGATTGTGGAAGAGGCACGAACAGAGACAAACGCATGATGCGGACTTGGAACTGACAATGTGTATAGTCCCCCCGAGCTCGGACCTTTAAGCAGAACTGCCTGTGTGATGAAATCCTTCACAACAAAAAAATCAGGGTGAAATTCGAAGTAACAATTATTATCTTTTGTAAAACGATTTACAGATAATAATGAGACCGACAACTCAGGGACATGTAAGACATGAGACAATTGTAAAGGTTTAATGACCGTAGGAATTACTGCACAACCCACACTCGAGATTGCCAAACCTGTGCCATTACCCACTCTCAGAACGTCATCACCGTGATATTCTTCGGCCTGCGATATGACTCTGGGATCCGGCGATGCATGAGTGGATGCGCCCGTATCCGGCAGCCAGGAGGTGACTGCCGACGTCGCGCCTGCACTGCCTCCGTCTCCAGCAACCGCAACATGCGCCGAAGGTGGTGGTTCCGAATATCTCTTGTAGCAGAAGGCCACCGAGTGCCCTTGGACTCTGCAAATCTGGCAGCGCAAGCCACCGTTCCGGCCACGTCCTCCGCGGCCTCCACCTCCGCGATTGCCTCCGCGGTTGCCGCCGCCGCGAGACTGGCCACCACGGCCTCCACTGTTTTGGTGGCGTCCACCACGACCGACATAGAACGCCGAGGGAGCTCCATTCGCCGTGGCAGGTTGATAGGCCGGGAAGTCATCCGCATGGATGAACTGCTGCGCCTGCAAGTAATCCGCCAATTGCGGAATCGTCACCGGCGTACCGGTGACCGCCAGGGAGGCCGCCATAGACCGGAACTCCGGTCGCAGCCCCCGGAAGACATACAAGTTCTGCTCCGTCAACGTTAGCGATCGCCCGGCGAGTGCAAGATCCTCCACTAGATGCTGAGCACGAGGTACTCCGGTGTGGAGCTATCTCCCTGCCGGAGTGCTTGAAACTGCCCCATGAGGTTGAGGCAGCGGACTTGGGAGGAGGAGCCGAGCGCCGTTTCCGCCGCAAGCCACACTGCATGAGACGTTGTCTGGCCGAGAGTGAGATACATAACCTCTTCAGAAATTGAGGATATGAGCAGCGACAAAATAGAGGCGTCCTGCTCAATCCAAGCTTCATGCTCCGGATTCGCGACAACAGACGCCGCATCTGCCGGGCTACTGGCCGGCAGTTCGATGACCGGAGAGGGGCACGGCCGTGTGCCATCAATGAAGCCGAGGAGTCGTTGTCCTCTTAAGAAGGGAATTATTTGGGTTTTCCAATACAGGTAGTTCCGATGGGTAAATTTAAGCGACTGAAAATGGTGCGCACTAGGGAGGGAGTTTGGGTGGGTGTTTGGGGAGGAGATGGTGGTGGTTGTGAGTGTGCGTTCGGAACTGGACGACATTGTCAATCGGAGAAGAAGAGAGAGAAAAAAAGGAGAGATCCCTACTGGCTAACTGATACCAGATGAACTTGGGAAAAGATAATTAATTGAATAACAGAATCATAGTTACATTAATACTCTCACAGAGAGAGAACTATCTTCTAGGCTAGAGACTCAGCGCACCATTGAAGATCATCTACAGAGTCTCAAAGTTGGAATCAAGGCAAAACTTGTTTTTGAGCAAAACAAGGGAAAAGAGGAAAGTAACACGGAGTTGTAAAATCCTGGATTGTCACACGGAGTTGTGAGATTCGAAGCAGCAGTGTCGGAGGACATTGGGCGTGATTAGTGCGGGCTTTGTGATCGAAGCACTAGATCACGGAAGATACGTTTCTACCGGATCGTAGAAGACGGGGGGAAAGTAACGCGGAGTCGTGAAATCCTGGGAAAGTAACGCGACGACGTGAAACCCGAAGCAGCAGTGTTGGTGTCACTGGGCGTGATTAGTGTGGGCTTGGTGATCAAAGCACTAGATCATGGAATTCATTGTATCTTGGAACCAAGAAGTGGTGGATATAGTGAATTGGCTCTTGGAGAAAAAGAGCAAGTGGAGTAGGAGGATTACACCACCTCGCGAACCACTATAAATTGCCTTGTGTTCTTTACTGCTTTCTTTACTTACTGCTCTTGCTTGCTTCTCACGAGAATAATCTTGACACGATCTACACACACACCGTATCGTTTATTTAATTTCCGCTGCGCACCATACTCTAACAATCTAGTTAAGAGTTTTGGTTTATCTCTGGCTTACCATTTGTTATATTGTGCTAAAAAGTTTGAAAGTGTATTCACCCCCCCCCCCCTCTAGACTTTCACCTTACCTCTTCTGGAACCAACAATTGGTATCAGAGCTGGTGCCTATCCGATTCAGAATTTGTCTCTAATCGATACTAACAATTGGTATCAAGGCCTGTAGCCTATTTGAGTCAAATTTGTTTCAAAGCAAGTTGTCTCTTTGGGTCAACCTTGTTTCTGACTGCTAGGCAGATCCATCTTACCCAGTGTGTGTAAATTGGATTATTTGTCTCTCGTATCCACCGAGAAGATGAATAAAGATTTAGCTCAAAATCTATTATTCTCGCTTGATAAATTTGATGATTAGAAAGTTCGTATGCAAGTTCATGTATTAGCTTTACACGATGAAATGTGGGAAGTTATTTCCACTGGCCTGATCGAAATATTGAAAGTAAATACGGCTTTTCTTCTATCACCGGATGCTCAACAATTCGTACCTAAGCCAAAACCGGAATGGACGTCGGATGATAGAAAGAGGAACAATCTTGACAACATTGCCAAAGATATTCTGTTCAAAGCCATTGATGATACAATATTCCCAAAAGTGCGAAAATGTACAAGTGCAAAAGCAATTTGGGATACTCTCATCAAGATCGGAGAAGGAGATGAACAAGAAAAAGATAACAAGCTCACTATTGCTATGAAGAAGTTCGAGGACTTCAAAATGCTCTCAAACGAATCCATTGTTGATATGGAAGCTCGAATGATCAAAATCCTTGGAGAAATTAATGACCTTGGCAAAAATATTAGCCAAAAGGAAATTAATCTCAAAGTTCTACGAGGCTTACCATCTACTTGGGATATGAAGGTTACGGCTATGCGAGATCACCGAGATCTAAGAATATTGTCAACCGACAAATTATTTAGTGATCTTAAAGCATATGAGTTCGAAATGAAGGCCAAAGATGATGATATTCATGAAATTCGAAATCCAGCTCTAATGGCCGAACAACCGTCAACCTCCAGGTCAGTAGATAATATTGATTTTATAACTGACGAACAATTTTCTCTTTTTGTTAGAAAATTCAAAAGGTTCATGCGAAAAGGAGACAACAAAAATTCTGCTCGTGGAAAATATGTCTCTCGCACGACACAAGAAGAGAAAGTCGAAGAAAACAACAATTTATGCTACAATTGCCGCAAACCCAGACATTTCAAAATAAATTGTCCGTATCCGATCGTTAGCAAGTATCAAGGCATAAATGTTGAATCTACACCGAATAAATCCGAAAGCAAAGATCGAAGGTTCATGCGCGACAAAAGAAAAGCTCTCGTTAGCAACGGACCAAATGAAAATGATGAGTCGAATGGATTGTCATCAAGTGATGAAAGCTCAAGTTCGGAAGATGACACGGCTCTAATATGCAAATCAATTGAGTTGAGTTCAAGTGAAGAGTGCTTTATGGCTCTTGGAGCAGAGGAAGAAGAGGTAACATCTAATTCTTTCAATTATGTTAATTCCTCTTTTTTCTCGTGAATCTATTGGCAGTCTAATGCGAGATTGTCAAGAGATTATGCTCACTCATCCTCAACTCAAGGAGCGCAATAATATTCTAATTCTTGAAAAAGAAGAGATGAATAAAAAATTGCAAGATGCTTTACTTGAAGTGAGTAACTTGAAGAGTGAAAATATTCAACTTCAAGAAGAGTGCAAAGCAAGAGAGGTTAGAGAACATAACCTTCGGACTACCATTGCTACGTTTACTAATTCGTCCAAAATTATGGATAAAATGGTAGACATGCAAAAGCCATCAGGAGATAGAACCGGAATCGGTTATGACTCCACATGTTCTCAAACCCCTCCGAAACTGACTAATCTTACTACTCCTTTAACTAATAAAGTGCAAGTGGTAAAATTTGTTAAAAGTCAGAATAGCACAATGAGACAAGGACTTGGCTATCATGAGAAAGCCAAGTTGAATGTTGAAAGGCCGAAATAGTTCAATACTACGACAAAGCAACAAAAATTCTTCAAGCAAAGATATGCCAAAGAGTCAAGTGCAAAAAGAATTTTTAGAAAAGAGGGAAGCTTTTCTAGAAATAGAGATGGAAGATTTTATTCCACTCAAAAGGATTGGTTGTGTAAATCTTGTTTTAATGCTTCTTATAGATGAAAGAAACAATCCTCTTCCCAGGTTCCCAAGTTTAAAAATGTTTTTCAAAATCCGGCGCCAAAAAGGTTTTCAAAAGTTAATTATGATTATCGTATTTCAAATGGTTACAAACCGCCTTATCTTAATTCAATAGGATCTAGGTGGGTTTGGTTACCAAAAATTACTAACAGCAAAGGACCCAAGCAAGTATGGGTACCTAAAACCAACTAATCTTTTTTGTAGGATGTTTGGTACATCGACAGTGGTTGCTCACGCCACATGACTAGAAAAAAATCATGTCTAGTGAATTTCAAGAAAATCGATGGACCAAAAGTTATATTTGGAGGAAATCAAAATTATGGAACTACAAAAGGAGTTGGAACAATTGAAAGAAATGGTTTGAAGATCGAAGATGTTTCATTTGTTGAAGGCCTAAAATTCAATTTGTTGAGCACTAGTCAATTTTGTGATAAAGGCTATCTTGTGGAATTTTCCAAAGATAATTGCCTAATCAAAAATGAGCTCTCAAATGAAGTTGTGCTCACTGGAAAAAGGCGAAAGAACATGTATATTGTTGATTGGAACACAAGCAAAGATTCAGTATGCTTAATGGCCAGAAATTCGAATGAAGCAAACTGGGAATGGCACAAAAAGCTCAACCATTTAAACTTCAAGACTATCAATCAGCTTGCAAAGAAAAATCTAGTTGAAGGACTACCAAGTATTATCTTCAAAAAGGACCAAGTGTGTGATGCATGCCAACGCGGAAAGGAAATCAAATCATCATTCAAGTCTAAGACGCATGAATCAACATCAAGACCGCTAAGCTTGCTACATATGGACTTATTTGGACCGGTTGATCCAATAAGTGTAAGTGGTAAGAAATATACTCTTGTTGTTGTTGATGATTTTTCCAGGTACACTTGGACCGTGTTTCTCAAGAAGAAAAATGAAGTTGAACAAGTGTTGCCGAAGCTGTTGAAGCAACTACAAAATGAGAAAGAATTGCAAATATCAAAAATCCGAACCGATCGTGGAACCGAGTTCGTGAATGGAGTTATACAAACTTTTTGCAATTCACATGGAATTTCTCATCAATTATCTGCCGCTAGAACACCACAACAAAACGGCGTTGCCGAAAGAAGAAACCGGACGCTTAAAGAAGCCGCACGAGTGATGATTAGTGCAGCCGGTCTCCCGAAAAGATATTGGGCGGAAGCTATCAACACAGCTTGCTATACGCAAAATCGAAGCATGATCCATAAGCAGTACAAGAAGACGCCATATGAGCTTTATAAAGGGAGAAAACCAAATATTGGTTATTTTCATATTTTTGGATGCAAGTGCTTTATTCATATTAATGATAAATTGCATCTAAAAGCTTTTGATGAGCGTGCAGATGAAGGAATTTTTCTACGATATTCGACTACCAGCAAAGCATTCAGAGTATTGAACAAAAGAACAATGGTGGTTGAAGAATCCATACACGTGGTATTTGATGAAAAATCACACATCAATATTGATGCTCTGGACGAAAATGGCGAAAATATTGAACAAAATGGTAACAAGTGTCATATTGATTTTTGTGATACTGATGATACGTGTGAAGAAAATATTTTGCAAGGAATGGATGAGTTGGAAATTAATTCTCTAGAAAATCCCATCTCTCATCCAGTAAGAAATGAAGTGCGGGATGCAATTGGTATTGAAATTGCAAATCAACCCAGGGATGCAGTTGAAGTGGAAATTGCAAATCAACCCTTGGATGCAATTACTGGAGAAGTTGGAAATTTACAAAATGAAGCAGAAATTCGAACCAGTGCTACCTCTTCTCAACCAGTGAATCCACCCAGCACCATGCACCCTTTTGAACCAGACTTAAGATGACTCAAAAATCACCCACCAGAATTAGTGATCGGAAATGTTCGAGATGGCGTGAAAACAAGATCATCTACCATGGAAGCATTGTTCACATGTTATCTATCTCAGATTGAACCAAAAGAAGTGGACGAAGCTCTAAATGATCCAAGTTGGATTGACGCCATGCAAGAGGAACTCGATCAATTCAAAAGA